TATCGTTACTTTTCACTGCATAGAGGAGGAGCCTTCTTAACCGGTTTTAGGGATGCTCTTAGAGAGGACATTTTACACCTGAGTTCTTGATTAACTGAACACCAATTTCTTCCTTTGATAAAGTCCTCCTTGATGATTATGAGTATTCACATATTAGGTTAAAGTAATTAAAAAAGTAGAGGAGGAAAAAACTTTTCAAAAGGACATTATTTTGGTGTGTTAAAAGGAAACCCACACAACCCATGGCCTCAGTCTGGCCATTTTCTCATGCAGTGCTTGGAAGTGAGAAACTGGCTTCATCTGAATGGCATAAGGAATATATTCTCTGTAGTTAAAATGGAAATACAGAAAAATGTACAGAATTCTCACCACACAAAGAGAGACACTATTAACCTGTTGGTGTTCTTTCTAACTGGTGCAGTACCTGTATATCCTTCCCCCTGTGTATGGGTATATCCTTACTTCCACAGAACTGGGGTGTGGTGTACAAGCTTTCGTATGCTGTTTTCTTGCTTTCAGTTAACATGTAATATTGTCCCCTGAAACAAGCATAGACCATTTCTTTGTGTAATTATATATTATTGAAGGAATTCTAATGGCTGCATAATATACATACTATTCTGTCATTGACATACTACAGTTTTATTATATTCTCATCTTTCTGTTCATGGCTTTTCAAGTTTATGTCCTTTTGAATATATGTATAATAGCAATCTTTCTGTAAGTCTTTGCCCAAATCTTACTGCTTTCTTAAGACATACTTCTCAAAGAGAAGTAGAGGTCAGTGCAAGGTCAGACTGTGGATGTTGTCTGCTCTGAGGTGTCCCAGGGGAGCCAGGCTGCTTGGTAGAAAAGCTCTGTTTTCCTTTCCAGCCAGTGAGCATGGACCCCAGGGTGTCTCACCCTGGCAATATTGAGTGCGATTGAAAATATCTTTTCTTCTTCATTTGGTACATGTAAAATAATTTTCTATTTCTTTAGAATGATCTGGATATATCTGTGTTTTTAAAATGTATCAGCCATTCTTTTTCCTCATGTTCTTTGCTCATTTTAAAAATAGGTTCTTTTTTCCTTTCTTTCTACTTAGCCTTCATCTACTATGACATAGTACTGATGCAGTCTTCTGTCTCTTGTTTTCCTCTTTCCCTAGCTTTACAAAAACATGAAATGTGCATATGCAAATTTTCAATGTTTTCTAACTTCTTTCTATGATTTAAGATATGTTTAGATATGTCCCTCTATTTCATATAAGTCTGCATATACTCAGTTTTAAAGTTTTTATGTTAAAACATAAAGACCATATCTATGTAGTACTACTTATTTTATATACAGTCTAGCCTTAAAGAGGTTCATTGGTTTGTTTTAAATATCCAGTAGTTCACATATTTTCATTTTTAAAAGAAAGCCCTTCTTGATATTTTATGGGTAAAATTTAGAGCCATCTTTCCAATGTCCTTAAAACTACTGCCATTGGTACTTTGATTATGAATACATGGCCTAAGAGTGAACTTGAGGATTTTTTAGATGCACATGTCAGTTGTACCTGGGAAGTGCCACCAACATTTAGGTAACCCCCCCCCCAAATGTGAGTAGTGATGGTCCCCCAAAGGTGCTGACAAGAAGGCAGTTTGAAAAACACCTATTCAGCCAGTCCAGGGATCACTGGGAGCAAGGGTGGGTGAACAGAGACTCTATCTTTGAGATGTTTTCATCTTACTTCCTATTCAGTAAGTTTTTCTCCACAGCCTGCCAGGGAGACTAACTGTGAGATGGTGAAGGGGGTTTGGCCCTGGCCCTGGCCTACTGGACTGGGCTGGGTGGGAGCTGGTGGGAATGACAACACAGAGGCCCACCTAATAAGTGTTGGCAAGAATGGGTGTTTGCAGAGTAGACAGGTTGAAAGTTTGAGGAAGGGAATAATGTGGCTTATAAGTGTAACTATTCATTGTGCTTGAAACACAAGGCAAAATGTGTGAGGGAACTGGGATGGGGCTTTCCTGGGCTAGACCCGCTCCCCAAACTGGGAGGATTTCAGAGACATAAAGCACCCCTTTCAAAGTGTTGTTAAAGTGTCTGGATGGTCACTCTGTGTCCATCTTGCGGACACAAGACTGTAACAATCAGTTCTTGAGCTCCTGGGTGGCTCATACCTGAGTAGCAAGCACCCCATTGCATACCTCATCCTTGGGAAGGCCTCAGTGGGGGAGGGGGCTGGTGACAGTCATTTTAAAGACAAGTCAGAGTATCCCTGTGGGACTGTGTCCCTTAGAGGTTCACCTCAGGGCTGAGCCACAGTGTAAGGGATACTGAGTGGCTAAGGGAAGTTACTGTTTCATTCATATCTTTATGACTGTATTGTTTCAATCTGATTAAATCACCATGTTGCATGGAGAAAAACCTCAAAATAAGTGTATCAAATGAAGCCTTCCTAGAGCAGGTGATTTGCCCCTTGCAGATAAAGCAGTGGTTCTCAACCTTGGCAGCATCTTAGAAACCCCTTGGGATGCTTTGAAAGAAGATGCTAAGGCTGGGCCCCACCCCTTTTGCCTAGATTAATTTGGGACAGAGTCTCAGCATCGTGATTTTTCAAAGCTTTGCAGGACTCTCCTGTGCAGCCTGCAAGTGCCTGCTTGGGATATGCTAGTGACTCATAACGCTTTCTGATGACAACTCCTTGCACAGCAGTTGTATCCAGAATTATCAGTTGCCTTTGAATCCAATATTTACCAATGTTAAAATTAAAAAAGAAAATTTCTAAATTAAATCTTTAAGTCACTATCACCATCATTGAGACAAAAGTATTTGAGCCTTGCATTAATCTGCAATAGATGTGTGTATAAGGCAGGCTTGAATGTGGCTGCCACTGCAAATGCTTCTATTGCTGATTTTTAAAAAGGATTTATTTTATTCATGCAAAGAAGAACTGGGGTGTGGGCCAGAGGTGCAGAGTGGCTAAATCTTTAAGTAATCTTGTGATTACTGTATGCTCTAGAGTTGTCTTCCAGCCTTCCTTGACAAATCCCACTAGTCACTACAGCATGGCTGATGGCGGACTTATCCTTCAGTACTGATGATTCAGTATCTGGAATGTGCAGTGGAGTGTGAGTCGATAGCCTTCCAGATAAAAGCTGTGGAATCCTGGCTGTCTTAGCACCTGCTGCCACTGCAGTCACTGTCACCATCCTTGTGGCAAAAGTGTTTGAACATTGCAGTCACCTGCAACAGGTGTGTGTACAAGATTGGCTTCAATGTGGCTGCCACCACAAATGCTTCTATTGCTGATCTTTTTTTTTTTTATTAATAATACAATGGTTTATTTTTATATCATTTTGTGCATTTTTCCATTTCAGTTGTAATCCCCGTGGGTTTTTTTTTTTTTTAAAGATTTATTTTAGGGCCCTCCCTGGTGGCGCAGCGGGTTAAAGCACAGCACTGAGAATCTAAAGCCGCTTCCGCATGAGTTCGATTCCCGCCTGCCCCGGAGGAGACCACATGGCGCGGCAGACCTCTCCTGGCCCGCCCGCTGCTCCCCTCAGCAGTGTACTTCGTCAATCTGCCTGTTCTGCTCCCCACTCTGTCTCTGGTGAAGCCTCTCGCCGCCCCTGAGCCTCTGGCCTGTACCCCAGTTCTGTATGCACAAATAAATAAATCTTTAAAAAAAAAAAGATTTATTTTATTCATGCAAAGAACTGGGATGTCGGCCAGAGGTGCAGAGGGGCTAAGATGATTCACCAGTGATGGAGTGGGGAGCAGAACAGGCAGATCTACTGAAATACAATGATGAGGGGAGCAGCAGAGGAGACAGGAGAGGTCTGCTTCATTATATGTGGGTCATATGAGGTGATAGCACTGAGACTTAACCCCTAGGCCAACAGGGAGCCCCTATAGCTTATCTTAATATATGATCCTTGAAATTATTTTTTCCAACATTACTAGCCAGCTCTATTATTCAGGCCATTGTCTATACTTTTAACACAGCCTCCGCTAATTCCTAACTCTTCAAATAGCATGCAACAGGGTCGGCCCAGAAACACTTCAGTAGTAAATGTTAGCCTATTTATGGCGCCCAGAGCTAGCTGTAATCTGCAAGGGTGAAACTTTTTTCCTGTTTTGTTAGTGTCGTTCACATGCTGAAGACTATCAGTGGTCACTCCGTTAGTAGCTTTGGCCACGAGGTCGAAACCCTAGTCTCTACAGCATTGGAGAGGCATGGCTGTGTGCCGCTTGCCTGTAACTCACAGCGGGGACCGTGACCTGTGTCCCTGTGCAGAAGAAAGACACTTATCTCCCACCCGGCATTTCCAGTAGCTCTCAGTTTTTACCCGTCTTTTCTTGAATAATCCCTCTCCCCGCCTTTGTTTATAGGCAGTTATAATATTGGGGGGGATACTCCAAAAAGTAGTTCTACCAACGATTTTGGGAGCCAGGGCCAGTTAGTCCCCCGCCTTTGTAAAAAGCCATTGCCACCCCTGCCCTCTCTGTGAGTCCTTCTGAGGATTATGAAAGAAGGTACGCGTAACATTGCCACCAGGCATGTAAACACACAATTAAAGTGGCAGTGGACGTTATCATACACTAAAAAGAGTGAACCTCACACGTGTGTGGTCTGTCTACCCCAGCGACAAGCTCTGGGGTCGCTGAAACCCAAAAGTGAAGTCCCAGCAAAGTTCCCTGGAAGCTTCCATGATGGATTCCGCCCTCCCCGCCCCAAACCGAGCTCCTGAAAAAGCAACTTCCTGGGTTAGCTTTTCCCTCCTCCCCGAGGCCGCGCTGGGCGCTTCCTGCCTGCGCGCTCTCCCGGCCCTGCAGCCTCTCGCTTGCTTCGCACTCCCGGCCGGGGGAGGCGGGTCGCGCGCGGAGAACGCCGCCGG